AAAAAAAAAGATAAACAATAAATTAAATAAAAAGGAAAAAACAAAATCATTAAACGTCTCCTCCAGGGAATCGATCCCGCTACCGTCAAACCTACATTGGATTTGCAAGCGGCGCATAACGCGGTGCGCCACTGGATCACTCTCATTTACATAATAATAGACCACTTGACACTTTCACCGAATAGACTACCCCAATTTGACATTATACTTTCGATAGTTGCCTAGTTAGTGCAAGGGGTTATCCATATCAGTGTCTAGGGGCCGGATAGCTTCTCCCTCACTGGCTTTTTAGTTAGCGCGAAGTTAGGACCAATTATCGGGATAGCATGGAAGAGCCGAAATCTCTAACCGGAATGTAAATCGATTCGCCGCCTCAGCTTCACAGAATGTCTCGGGGGGAATCTTTTTTCGATTTTATGGTCATGGGTTCGAATCCCAATACTCAAGTTTTTTCTTTTTTCGTATTTCTTTTTTTTGTTTTGTTTTTTGTTGTTGTCTTTGAATTAGCTTCCTATGCATTTTATGTTTTTAATTACAAAATCTGCAGAATCATTTAGTAATTACTTCTATATATTTTCTATAATATGATATTTTAAAGCGCGCTTTCATTGGCTTGTTTACATTAAACGTATAATAAGTTTTCACAGCGCGGCGATTGCGGAACCGAGAACAATTTTTAAACAGAGTGTCCGAGTTATGTTTGCTATTCGTACGGACATAGTATATATCTGACATTTTTAAGTAATTATWTAAGATATCGATTTTAAAATAATATAATTTTGTTTAGGGTCAAATGATAATATTATACGCTACAAACTTCCTGGTGATGCGTAGACCCCATTGAGACCCTCCACTCGAACAGTATTATTTCGGTATTTAGTGCATTGTATTAATTGAAATTACGGTTATTTGCGACGATTTTTCACACAAAAAAATTGCTGCCCGATGTTTAGTTCTGGGACTAAACGTCAGGCAGTCAAAAAATCTCAAAGTGCCGTGCTTGTGACTATATACAAACTTGTCGAACAGTATTATTTCGGTCTTTATTACATTTCCCTTGTTCTATTAATTGAAATTACGGTTGTTCCGACGATTTGTTCACAAAAAGAATAAGAATAAAAATGACTCACCTTGATAACTTGTTGTGTCTTTTATCATTTGGCGGAGTTTGAAGCCGTTAGGTAGTGATATTACCTGGTTTTCGAATTTTCTTTCCCTAACCTATATTCGAAAACCAGGTAATATCGCTTCCTAACGGCTTCAAACTCCGCCAAATGATAAAAGACACAACATATWATTCATTTTTGATATATTTTTATTTATTTCATTGTTTATTGTAGCTTCTTAGGTTTGGGTTTTAGAAGTCACTTAAAAAACAAGTAGTTCGTGTCTTATCGTGG